TGATGCCAATATTAAATAAGATGGACTTAAAATAGTAAACAAAAACTTTGTATAATAACGAAAATGACAGAAACTTAGATTATATAAAGAAGGATCGATATTATAACCATTTGATAGTATTGCTAATAACGTAGTTGTATAAATTTGTAGAAGATTACTAATATTATACGCTATCAAATATATTGCACATGGATTTTTGCGTAGATTTTTTTTTTGTAAAAACAATCAAACTAAGTACGCAACTTACAGTACCCAGAAACATCAAAATTGGTCCACCGTATTTATATAAATTTGTTAGTACTGATATTAATGATGAGTTATCATTTATTTCCGACGACATTTTAATCGATTTATCTAAAAAACATCCAATGTAAGAGATATTATGTTAGAAACAATTAACTTGAAAATTCTTTTCTGAAGTATTTTATACTGAGATTTTAATTGAATATCCCATCGCAGATTGAAATAATGTTCTCACAGACCAATTACAACAAAAATAAACGAAGAAATCTTATTAACAGATTATAACGCCAAGAAAATGATGAATTATACTGCCTGTTAATATATTATTTTGGTGACTAACACTATCTGTGCGATAAAAATGTTGCTCATAATGTCCCAAGTAGAAACAAAAAAGATTAAAAAAAACTCACTTACCAACAAGACTATAGATATTTTCTGTGTTCTCGAAAAAGATCACGCGAGATATAATAATTAAAATTTAATACAAGATTTTCTAGCTCGTAATATATACGAAGGAAATGCCGGTATACCCTAAGCAAGGCTAAAGCGAACGACTTTATTAGATTAATGGTTGTTTTATTTTAACGGTTTCTAGCATAAAGTGAGGAAGTGGAAATAAGGACCGTTCCATGACAAACAGTTGTTATTTCTGTTTTATGAGAATTTCTTCAGACGAAGTAAATGATAAAAGTAAAGCGACACAAACTTTAATAAGCCCTCTACTGATAGAAGTCTTACTTGATGAAATAAAAATGTTCGTTCATAAAGTTTCGAGTTTCTTCGATCTATGGGTGTGGATGGGTAGGTGTGGGTAAACAAATGGTGGATCCACATCCTCACCCATCCTCAATGCATTTCAAATTGAAGAATATTTGTATACTGCAAACTAATCTATGAAGTATTCGATTGTGAACAATTTTGTTTTTCAGACATATCAATTATCTCAGGTGTGCTTAAAATAAAGTACTATTTTAACATTAACCATCTTGAATTTTTAAACATAAAGAATAATTATAGTCAAGAAAAATTTACTTGAGTAACTTCAGATGAACAAAAAATGAATGAATCTATATATTATATAAGTTAAAAGTAGTGTTATTTAAATAAATTTGTTTATATATAGTACTGATTCCATATTTAAGTGATAATGACAGTTGAGTGTATAGTTAAACCAAATACCAACTATGCAAAAAGTTCAAAATCAATATCAAAATAAAGAATAAAACTTATCTTCATTGAAAGAAATATTTATACCATGACAATCAAGAACATTTAAACGCAGTTTTTTAACTTTTTCTTCATGAAACTATGCCTCGTTCAACAATATAACAAAACAATTCAACTCAATTTCACATAAGTTATTCTTTTATACCACGATTATTATTCAAGAAATATATATTGGTTTCTTCTTGTTATATTGCAGGGAATACTCTCGAAAAGAATTAGAAATGTAGATATGTCTGAGATGGTCATTTATACACAGACATGTGTGTTACCTTATCAGTCGGCTTTGTGCATTACGTTTTTATTATTCGCAGAGTTGTTCTCTGTACGCTCGCGTGAGTTACTACAAAGTAACATTAACCCGAACATAAGTGAACGAAATATTCTTTTATTTATTTATTAACTAGTTTTTATCATATATTTTACAATTTCAATACTATTCTTCACACTTTTTATATGAGGATGAGTTGGAGGTAGTGCACGTTGTAATATGTTCAGAGCACGTTCAAAATATGAAAGTGCTTTCGAATAATCTTTCATGTTTTGATATACAGTACCGATGTTGTTGTATGAAGTAGCCAAACCAGGATGATTTGAAGGGAGAGTTTTTTCATCAATTTCAAGTGCTTTTTCGCAAAAATAAAGTGCTTTCGAGTACTCTTTCATGTTGTCATACACACTACCGATGTTGTTGTATGAAGTAGCCATATCAGGATGATTAGAAGAAAGAGTTTTTTGCCAAATTTCAAGTGCTTTTTCATGAAAATAAAGTCCTTTTGAGTACTCTCCCGTCTTGCCATACACGATACCAATGTTGTTGTATGAAGTAGCTAATGAAGGATGATTTGAAGGAAGAGTTTTTTGCCAAATTTTAAGGCCTTTTTCGTAAAATGAAAGTGCTTTTGAGTACTCTCCCATGTTGTCAAACACCAAACCGGTGTTGTTGTATGAAGTAGCCAAATCAGGATGATTTGAAGGAAGAGTTTTTTCAGAGATTTCAAGTGCTTTTTCAAAATATGAAAGTGCTTTCGAGTTCTCTCCCATTTTTTTATACACCAAACCGATGTTGTTGTATGAAGTAGCCAAAAGAGGATGATTTGAAGGAAGAGTTTTTTGTTGAATTTCAAGTGCTTTTTCGAAATATGAAAGCGCTTTTGAGTACTCTCCCATGTTGTCAAACACCAAACCGATGTTGTTGTATGAAGTAGCCAATGAAGGATGATTTGAAGGAAGAGTTTTTTGTTCAATTTCAAGTCCTCGTTCATAATACCAAATAGCCTTTTCATAGTCACCCTGGTCATCTTTGATATATCCCAGCTGATGATGATAGAGCGCTTTGTCATTCTCATCAGATGTCTGTTCGAGTAATACATTATAAAGTTCGTCAGCTTTATTAAATTGACCAATTTGAAGCAATAACTTACCCAATCTTTTCCATCCAGTGCTACCACCAGCTTCTTGTCGTATTCGATCAGTAAGTAATCGTAGTTGTTGATCATCATCCGATGTTAATTCTAGCTCAACTTGATAAAGTTGATTATTATTATCCATTTGTTTAATTGTCTTCACTCGAAAGACTGTGTGCATTGAGAAGAGAATTTCATCTTCGTCCCTAAAATAACTTTTCTCTTTGATGGAGGCAAATGGTGTTGATTTCAAGCAAGGATCAATAGACATTATAAACAAAATGCCCACCTTCTTTGGCTCTGTTGAAGCATTTCGAGCAAAACCGAGGGATACTTCTTTATCTGTACTAGTAGATAAGAAACTGTTAAATGACATAAGTCCACCTTTTGCTTTTTGAAGTTTTTCAAAGTCTGATTTCATAAGACCTTGTCCTCGATAAACTAAAAAAGGCTTTCCATCGTAACTACTTACTTGTTGTTCGTATAGCTGTTGAATTTGTTGATGCAGATGACACATAAAGAAACCCATAATGATAATTGCATCAGCGTCCAGTGTTCGAAGAGCATAATTGAGCATAGAATAGATATTGGATGGGAAAGTATACCACCAAATAGCTAACTCAGCATCGTATTCTTTCTCAAAACGGTTAGTATTGATTGGTGACAAGCTGTTGTTATTTCGGCAAAAAGCACTAAACTGTTGGATCACTTGTACATCATATTCGATATCAAGGAGAATCTCCTTGAATAGTTGTGTATACATGAAAGTTGGCTCCAACTGATTTAAATTACCAGTTGAAGCCATTTGATTTACCGCGAGAAAACTTACGGCAATTGTGTTTTGGTCACATTGCTTAACGGCTAGTTGCAACGCTTGACAAATATGAGCGATATTTGTATAGATACCTTTAATTTTTGCCCAGTTTTGAGTCCATCCTTGGTGCCTGGATTCGTCGCCACAGAAGATGTAGATTACATCCAACTGTGACATGTCATGAATTCCAGGAACCAAATGTTGACCTAATGAGCCTGATGTTATCACAAAGGCTCGTTCCTTGTCAACCTTGTTGAGTACTTGAATGCACTGATTCGGTTCAGTGCATAAGCTGACATTATTGACCACATTCTTCAATTGAGTGAGCGTATCCTGGCAGTCCTTGTCTGCTTGGTCGATGCTGGCATCTGCCCAGATGAGAAGGTAATTTTGTGTCATACGTTGTCGTGGTTGACGAACATAAGACACTGTTGCTCCATGAGACGATTTTATGCTCGATTTTGAAGGTTTCGGGCCCATGATACATTTATACTAATAATCAGACGAGAATTGAATGCGGTTGAAAAGCTAAGGGTTTTATGCTTAAGCAAAGAAACGAACGCTGTGATTTATATGAGAATCAGATCTCTTCATGACAATGTTTTTATGATATCATTAGCTATTTTTTTTATGTTTATTACTATTATCTATAATAAAATCCTGTCCTGTGTATCATTCAGCTTATATCGTACAACAAGGTGAGTAGGAAGAAGAAAGAAGAATTCATTTTTTCCCACTTTCTTCACATATAGGAGAGAATATCGTTAATAAAAAAGACACATATTTACTCTGCAAATAATGTGCGTCAACAGGCTGACTGCATTTTCTCCTGTTTTTGAATCGCACATTGCAATTACACAGGAAGAAAAGTCAAATGATTGTGTTCTTCTCTATGAACGATCAACAAAATCTGCTCAATCTTCTACGGATATTATCAGTTAAAAGAGTAAATAATAACGAATATTTAACTTATTATTTGATAAATTAATAATTTAGTCAATATCAGAATCATAACTAAAGCTAGAAATACTCGCCGTTACAGAAAAATACTGTATAAAGTTCTTATCATGAATCTTTCAACAGAAGAGAACAAATAAGTGCATGTAATATTCACATCTCATTATTAAAATCCAAATTGAACACTGCATTAGTTGATTCTGTAATCCTTAGTGATAAAAACCTTTATAATCAGAATTTGAGATTAAACGAGGACATAGCTACTGAGATATGAGATATCCAAAATAAAAATCAGTCATTTTATAATCATTTTCTCTAAGCAAAGTCTGAATTAAAAAAAATTAAGCAAGATACAGTGTAATTTTTATCTCTACTACATCACATTGAATTATTCAAAAGCTTAAAAACTTATGATAAAGCATGTTGAGTTTTGAACATTTTACTCAACTATGTTTATAAATGTGTGTTGAAAGTGAGTTTATGTAAAATAAAACTATATTATTGCTTACTTGTATTGCTTTTTCAAAGATTATTACTATTTAACACCGCAACGAAGATAAATAAAAAAGAATAGCAGACTTAATAATACGATTTGACTAATATTAAGTAAATTAATTAGAATTAGTAATCGAAATCAACAATTCAATATTGATAACAAACATTTGTTGCTTCTAATAAAGAATTCAATTCTAAATTAATTACTCGTGAATTAATAAGAAATTCTATGGCTAATTTTGAAAACAGTTGGTAACAGATAACGAATCATCAGTATTAATTCAACATATAATAGTTCGAATTCTCGATTTCGATAATATGAATTTAATTGTATTCTACTATAATCATGGATGTTGAGAATTCTGTGAAAATCTCAAAGTCGTTATTTCGAAATCAAGCTTCGCATCTCATGTCGTATACGAGTCTCGACTCATATACCATCTAGTTCTTTCTTGTACTTATTTTTTCTTAATGTACTTGCTCGGCTTTCTCAACACAATAACGATGAAATGTATATTTTGATAAAAAAGAAATTCTGATCAGTAGATGATATTAGAGATATATTACTATTTCATAGGTATGGTAGTTGTAATTACTTAGAACAAGCGATCCGACTATCAAATCCTGTCGGAGTTTTTCAAATTGGATGATAAGCTATCGAAAGTTACTGGAACCCGTAGCTAAAGATTCTCACAGTCTAGTCATATTGTCACAAACACCGAAATTCTAACAAGCCCTACAAGGATGCGTTTGACTTGGCGGTAGGCGCGAACATAAGTGAGAGGGGAGGACGGTGTGCGAGGATGAGCATGAGTGTAACATAGATTTATATGTTCTTTAGTGACATCCTTACCCTCACATTCACCCACGGGTTTCCGCTCATTATCATTGAGACCTACACCCTCTGGTGCGAAAGCCTATCGTTGCAGCATTTCTTTCATGTAGCCATTTGTCCCGCAACATTATGTCCTAGCGCCACTTAACCCTTTCGCTCTCGGCAACACATATATGTGTGCTAATGTATTTATCGAATAAAAGTCGTAATACTATACATTTCAAGTGTTTAGAACAGCTTCTTATCGTTTGTTAGATAGTGCCAAAGTGATATAATTCTTCTCTTTTCTTTTTATTAATCGTTTTATTCGCGCACATTTCATCCATATTTTCTGTCGCTCTGGTGTGCTCCAGCACAGTGTGTCACTATGTATTGTTGATTGTTTCAAAGACTATCACGCGAAGACGAAATATTAAAGCTGTTTCTGATCAAAAAATTAAATTCTTTGATAAATATTACTTTTCAAAATCTTCATTCTCTCAAAAAAATCGCTTGAAGCCAAAGGATTAAAGATAGAAAAAAGTCTTATGGTAAATGTCCATCTTATATGAAACTTAATGATAAAACAAAAAAATATCTTAATACAATAGAAAAAGTGTTTGGTAATATATCACTTATAATTAAACCAACAAGTAAGACGGAAAAACAAAATGTTCATGTCTTTTTTTATGACTTTTTTTTAGTTAATGATAAGAAATATGAATCAATACTAAGTCGTACAACAATAAGAAGAGTATTTAATATATTGAATACTCAGTATTTGAATCAAGAAGAGTATTCAAAAGTTTTCAAAGCAATAATTAGACTTGGTGAACATACACAGGACGATGATTCCGGAAGCAGTACTCCGTGAATTTTCGGAGAAAACGATCAGGAAATTCGGCATTTCTGGTTGGAACTCGCCGGAAAAAGGGAGCAATCTGGTACAATGATCTGATGACCGGTAACGGCTGCCGGTTTTAACAAGTTCGTGTCGCTTTCAGGTGCAACCCGACCAATGCGGGGAACATATCCGGTCACCAGAATACTATGGAAACGGTCGTTTCCATCTTGAGGGTGTGAATGAACGCATCAGTTTCACCAAAAGATGAATACGATACTCACACCCACACCCGGGTCAAAAACCCAAATATTTTAAACAAGTTAGAGGAGGACACATTGGATCAGAGTGCACGCAAGTTTTAGCGGATGTTTACATGAGAAAATGGGAGAAATCTTTCAGGGAAAAACAAAATTCAGAGGGAGAATTATATTTCAGATTTCGGGATGACATATTTCTTACTACTAAAAAAACTAAAATAGAAATGAATCAAATTTTAGAAGAATTTGGAAAAATAGATAAAAATATAAGTTTAACATACGAAACAGGTAAGTACGTTGACTACTTAGATGTTAGAGTAAGTGTAGAAGCACCAAATTTTAGAACTAAGATTTTTCGGAAGTTAGCGGCTCAACCATATATTTTATCTTTTGATTATGAACATCCGCTGCAGGTGCTCAAAAATATCCCATTTTCAGCAATAATCAGGATCGTTAGGATATGTTCACATAAGTCTGATTTAGAAGAAGAGATAGAAAAAATAAGTATCCGCCCAATTTGAATGAAGCACATTTTAGACGTTTTTATAGTACATTAACAGGTAAAAATGATTTAACTCTACTTTTGAGAAATAAACACAGTGAGTGTAGAGATCAGGTTTTTTGATCCAAATTGGAATAAAAAACAAGAAAAATAGAGAATAGATCTTAATAAAGATACTTTAGCGCATTTTACCTACACACGTAGTTTATCAAGTTTCGGGACAACATTTCGTTCACTATGGAAGGAAATATTCGAAGATACTCCTCTTAGCGACATTTCAGTTATTTTTGCACATAAATTAACAGATAATCTGTAAAACATTTTAGTACGTAAAAAACCATCAAAATCAGTAGTTAAAAACATAGTAGGACAAATACAAGAATAAAGATACTCACACTTTTTTCTTTTTCATGTTTCAGATACATCATCGACAAGCTCGACTCATCGATGCGCATTATAATTATTTTGTAGTTTTTTCATATATATGATTTTTTTTGCATGTTTAATTTTTGTGAATTTTTTTATAATAAAGATATTGTAGTGATTAGTTATCCCCATGAATTGAGCATTACACCTTCACCTACACTTTTCAGTTGAGTAGATAAAAGATAACAAATTGACCTAATGAGAAGATATTGTAAAAGAATTACTCGAGAGTAGATAATAGACAGTAGAAAATAGACAACGAAAGGGTACAAAAGGAAATACAGTTGAGCAGATAAATAGATAAATATTGTCTGAAGAGAATCAAAATTCGAAGCGCGTAACACTTGTATTAAATTTATTTATTTAAAAATAAAATTATTCAAAAATATTACATTTGTCTTATTATTATTTATATTTTCGTCACTTCTCATATCTATTACTTCATTTATTTATTTATTTATTTATTTATTTATTTATTCATATCTACTTCTTTCTTTTTTATTTCATTCATATCTTCATCTTTATTTTTCTTTAAATTCTTTTTCGCTTAAATATATACATCTCTATATATATATAAAACATTAAAAATAATAAAAAAATTATTAATATTTGATATTTATCATTACTTACTTATCGAATACTTATATATTATATCCACACGAACACCTCCATCCACCCACCCTCAATACATTTAAACAAATGGCTCATTAGAAAAGAATGGAAATAACATAAGTCGTCACAATATTTCTTTCTTATTTTACGTTTAGTTAATTCATTTTTCTGTATTACAAAATTTTATTCTATTTTTGTATAATCTCACAGAAACAACTCATGTGAGTACTCATGCTGGCAAGTCGTACTTGCTTGATGAGTACTTTCATTAGGGTTAAAATAACCCTCACTGGTAATTAAATTATATGCAGCTTCTATTATAATTGGTTTTCTAATCGGTTTATTGAATGGTTTTCCATAATCCTAATTCTCGTAAACAAGGATTTGGATTTTATCTTAAATTGTTTCTACTCTAACTGTCAGTTTGTTAATTATAAAATTATAATTTGTAAGAATGAGTGGATGTGGATATGAGTGAAATATAAAAATGACACCCTCTCCCACCTCATGCATACTCTCAAAACTTTTTGATTTCCTTATATGAATATTTATTGTTGAATAAAAAATAGTTGTTTACAACAGTTTTACAAGATGCTTGATTACAATGAACAAAGAAACACACAATAGTACAACATTCAACAGTTAGTCTGTTGTTACGAGTAATTTGTGTTAATAATCATGAACAACATATTAACACTTGATAATATTTTTGACTTCATATCGAAATGTTTTGGACACGAGAAAATTGGTATAGAAGCCAACACAAAATGGGACATAAGAACTGAACAGAGCAACATTCAAAAGCAGGCTTACGAGTTCAAGTTTAGCAAAATCATATGGTTCAGTTTGAAGAATTTGTAAGTATATAAGAACAGGTGGCATCATTGCACTGAATATAATATATATACCGATATCAATCATTAAAATTTGAATAAGTTGACTATCCTTTGACTTTGATTGTGTAGAACGCACAACAACAGTAGCTGCGGTGACAGTAACAGCAGTGACCTGACGTCTTTGTCGAAGATTTTTCACAGCCCATATTCCCAAAATAATCATCAATAAAGGAATTAGAATGTCTTGGATTAAAATTGTATAATAATCTATGAATGTTAAATAGAATCCAGGCTGGAAAGTGCAAATGATAAGATTTGGTACCGGTTCCAAAATATAGGTCAGAAATAATGTATGAATATGAGCTAATAACCAAAATAATGTTACACCTATGATGGATATATAAGTTACACGTAAAGTACTGCGTTGTCTTGTTAGAGCATTTGGTGAAGTGATTAATATTCGATCAATTGATGCCAATATTAAATAAGATGGACTTAAAATAGTAAACAAAAACTGTGTATAATAACGAAAATGGCAGAAACTCAGACTATATAAAGTAGGATCGATATTATAACCAATTGATAGTATTGCTAATAACATAGTTGTGTAAATTTGTAGAAGATTACCAATATTATATGCCACCAAATATATTGCACATGGATTTTTACGTAGATTTTTTTTCGTAAAAACAATCAAACTAAGTACGCAACTTACAGTGCCCAGCACCATCAGAATTGGTCCACCGTATTTATATAAATTTGTTTGTATTGATATAAATAATGAATTGTAATCTATTCCCGACGACATTTTAATCGATTTATCTAAAAGAAATAAGAAAATAACATTCATGATACGAGATGTTATGTTAAAAGCAACTAACTTCAAAATTCTTTTCTGATGTATTTTATACTAAGATTTTAATTAAATATTCTATTATATGCTATGTCGTTGTTTGTCGCACATTAGAATAATGTTTTCACAAACCAATTACAACAAAAATAAACGAAGAAATCTTCTTAACAGATTATCTATGCGAAAAAAATGCTATTTATAATGCCCCAAGTAGAAACAAAAAAGATTAAAAAAAAAGCGTACCCATTTATATGAAGAGAAAAAAGTTCTTATACCAGCAAGATTATAAATATTTTTTGAGTTCTCAAAGAACACTACTTGAGATATAATGCATAAAATTTAATACAAAATTTTCTAGCTCATAATATGTACAAAGGAAATGCCGCTGCACCCTACGCACGACTAAAACGAATGAATTTATTAGATTAATGATTGTTTTATTTTAACGACTTACAGCATACAGTGAGTGAGTAGAAATAAGGACCGTGCCATGATCAATAGTTATTATTTCTATTTTATGAGGATTTCTTTAGATGAATTAAATAATACAAGTAAAGCGACACAAAATTTAATAAGCTCGCCATTCAACAATGTCTTACTTGATGGATCAAAAATGTTCCTTCATGAAGTTTCAAGTTTCTTCAATCTATGGATGTGGGTACATAAATGATGAATCCATATCCATCCTCAATGCATTCCCGATTGAAGAATATTTGTATATTGAAGACTAGTCTATGAAATATTCGATTGTAAAAAATGTGTTTATCGAAGATATAGATTGTTTCCGTGTGCTTGAAATAGAATACTATTTTAACATTAAGCATCTCGAATTTTTAAATATAAAGAATAATTGTAGTCATGAAAAGATTTGTTTGAGTAACTTCTGATGAACAAAACATGAATGAATCTAATATATAACATAAATTAAAAGTACCATTATTTAAACAAATTTATTAAAATATAGTATTGATTTGATGTGTAAGTGATAATGAAAGTTGAGTATATAGTTTAACCAAATGCGAACTATGCAAAAAGTTCAAAATCAACATCAAAATAAAGAATAAAATTTATCTTCATCTAAAAAATATTTATACCATGACAATCAAGGCCATTTAAACGCAGTTTTTTAACTTTTTCTTCATGAAACTATGCCTCGTTCAACAATATAACAAAACAATTCAATTCACTTTCACATTAGCTATTTTATTGTTTTATTCCATGATTATTATTTAAGATAATATTTATTTATTTCTTCTTTGCTTATTACAAGAAATACTCTCGTAAAGAATTAGAAATGTAGATATGTCTGAGAAGATTTTTTATACACAGACATATGTATGTGTATTCCCTTATCGGTCGGCTTTATCCATTACATTTTTGCTATTTACACAGTTGCTCTCTGTACACGCGTGGGACTCTCTAAAATTAGAATTAATTCAAGCATAAGCGGAAAAAATATTCTTTTATTTATTTATCAACTATTCTCTATAATTTCTTCTTTTACAATTTCAATACTATCTTTAACAATTTTTATATTAGGATGAGTTGAAGGTAATGTACGCTGGTATATGTCCAGAGCACGTTCAAAATATGACAGTGCTTCCGAATAGTCTTCCATATTGTAAAACACGTTAGCGATATTGTTGTATGAATTAGCGAAATCTGGATGATTTGAAGAAAGAGTATTTTGATAGATTTCAAGTACTTTTTTATGAGATGAAAGTGCTTCCGAGTACTTGCCCATTTTGTCATATACAGTACCGATATTGTTGTATGAAGCAGCCAAAAGAGGTTGATTTGAAGGAAGAGTTTCTTGATAAATTTCAAGTGCTTTTTTATGAGATGAAAGTGCTTTTGAGTACTCTCCCATTTCGTCATACAAAATACCGATGTTATTGTATGACTGCGCGAAATCAGGATGATTTGAAGGAAGAGTTTTTTGACGAATTTCAAGTGCGTTTTCGTGAGATGAAAGTGCTTTCGAGTACTCTCCCATCTTCTCATACACACTACCGATGTTGTTGTATGAAGTAGCTAAAGTAGGATGATTAGAAGGAAGAGTTTTTTGAAAGATTTCAAGTGCTTTTTCGTAAAATGAAAGTGCTTTCGAATACTCTCCCATGTTGTAATACACAATACCGATGTTGTTGTATAACTGCGCGAAATCAGCATGATTTGAAGGAAGAGTGTTTTGATGAATTTTAAGTGCTTTCTCGTAATATGAAAGTGCTTTTGAATACTCTCCCATGTTGTCATAAACACCACCGATGTTGCTGTATGAAATAGCCAAATCAGGATGATTTGAAGGAAGAGTTTTTTGTTCTATTTCATGTCCTTGTTCGTAATACCAAATAGCCTTTTCATAATCACTCTGACCATCTTTGACATATCCCAATCGATTATAATAATGTTGCTTTTCATCCTCAACAGATGTCTGTTCGAGTAATACATTATAAAGTTCTTCAGCTTTATCAAATTGACCAATTTTAAGCAATAAGGTACCCAATCTCTCCCACCCAGTACCATCACCAGCTTCTTCTCGTATCCGATCAGTAAGTATTCGTAGTTGTTGATCATCATCCGATGTTAATTCTAGTTCAACTTGATAAAGTTGATTGTTAATGTCGATTCGTTTAATTGCACCCACTCGAAAGACTGTGTGCATTGAAAAGAGAATTTCTTCTTCGTCTCTAAAATAGCTCAACTCCTTGATGGAAGCGAATGGTGTTGCTTTTACATTGGGATCAACAGACATTATAAATAGAATGCCGACCATATCCACATTTTCTGATGCACTACTGGCAAGTCCGAGAGGTGTATATTGTTCTGTACTAGTGGATAAAAAGTTGTTGAAAGACATTAAACCACCTTTTGTTTTTTGGAGTTTTTCAAAATTCGTTTTGGATAGACCTTGTCCTCGGTAAACTGTGAATGGTTTGCCATGATAGCTATTAACCTGCTGTTGGTGTAACTGTTGTATTTGTAGATGAAGATCATGAATAAAAAAACCCATATTAATAATGGTATCACCTTCCATAAAGCGAAGAGCAGAATTTAGCATAGAATAGACAAATGATGGGTAAGTATACCACCAAATAGCTGATTGAGGATTGTATTCTTTTTCAAATCGATCAATATTGGTTGTCGATTTGGAATTATCTTGTCGGCAATAAGCTGTAAATTGTATAATGGCCTGTTTACCATGTTCCATATCAAGAAGAATATCCTTGAATATTTGGGTGTACATAAAAGTTGGTTCCAACTGATTTAAATCATCAGTTGCAGCCATTTCATTTACGGTGACAAAACTCATAGCAATTGACTCTTGACTGTATCGCTTGACATCCATTTGTAATGCTTGACATAGGTCTTTGATGTTGGTATGAACACTTTTGATTTTTGGCCAGTTTTTGGCCCATTCTTCATGTAGGATATCGATATGACTAAAGATATAAACACCATCTAACTGAGGAATATCATTGATGACGGACATAATTTGTTGAGCCACAGTATTCTCGATAATGAGAAAAGACTTGATGTCTTCACTATCGGAAAGAAAGTCGATGCATTCATCTCTCTGTGTAAAGACGCTAACATTGTCGGTACCGGTTTGTATTTGTGTTAAAATATGTTTGTAATCTTTGTTGGTTGCGTCCGTAGACTCATCTAAGCAAATGAGTAAATAATCTTGTACCATACGTCTTCGTCGTTCGATACTATCAGATAATGTGACCATTTCGTGTATTATGTGGATTTTTTGATTAAATTGATAAAAGTGAATGCTATGGCATGATATATCTCTTGCCGTAAAGAATGCTGATTCTCTTTCATTTCTTCACGTACTACTAATATCGTTGAGTATTTAAGGGGTGAATATTGTGAAGAGAAGGATGATTCTTGTTGTATAAAAGAGGAAGAATAAAGAACAAAAAGGAATGAAAATAGTGAAGGAGATGAAAAAGCTCGATTATTTATATGAGAATGGAATCTCTTTATCTAACAATTGTACGACATCATTATCTATCTTCACAAGTTTATTTAGATTAATTATAATAGAACTTTGTCCTCTGTATTCTTCCATATACATTATAGAGCCAGGTGATGACAAAGAACGAAAAAGAAAGAATTCATTTTTTTCAACTTTCTTCACAGATGAGAGATAATATCATTACTAACAGAAAAAAAACACATGTTTTCTTTGTAAATAAAACACGCTAAAAGTCTCGCACCATTTTCTTTTGTGTTGGAGTCGTATATTGAAATTACAAAAGGATACAAATTGAGTGATCGTATTTTTTATGAGCGATCAATAAAATCGACTCAATCTGGTATACATATTATCAGTAAAATGAGTAAATAATAACGAATACTTAACTTATTGTTCGGTGAATTAACAATTTATTCATTATTAGAATCATAATTAAAATTAGCGGAGGTACTCGCCGTTTCAGGAAAATTGAGGTTATGCATGGTTGTGAGTGTGTCTCTACGTTTAAACCAAAACACACCCACACCCATCCGCAAGAAAGAATTTACGACTAAATTGCCTTGTTTAATATACTTGAATCATCTTTCACGAATAAGAATCCTAAAGATACAATGAGTAATGAGCGTTTTCCATTCAGTCAAATTGAGACATTCATTGAATGATACTGTCCACGTCGCATGGTATTTAAACGAGTTATTCGGAAGGTGTGTATTATATTATATATTCTAAAGAAATGTGGTCATCAATAATCCAATAGAGAAATTCGATTAGCGAATGAATAATTTGTTTATCATATTGAAGGATATGATTCATCTCACAGACAAGATCGTTATGTACATATTTATTCATTAACATTTAACTTTAGTAAACTTTATGGATTTCATTCATGTTCTGAACTAAATCATCGGACATTATTTTACTGAAACTTTTCTCGATGGTTGTTTAGTTTTTTTTCAATCTTTATCCAAATGCATGCCGAATATTATACCAATCGATTATAATCTTAACTTTAATCATGTATTTAATATGACTGTTCCATCTATTATTATAGATTAGGACTTATTTCATCATATTCTTACTCTTCGATTTATATCTCAGATATACAAGTCGATTTGTTTTGCAGTCAGAATTTGTATATTATTTTTCTAAGATCATCATTAAATTATTGAATCAGCTACCGACTAGTTGCTCTAAATCTGTATATCGATTTTTAATTGTATCTGTAATGTCTTTCGATATCTATTAACAGATGTTAAAAGTTCTTTTTTTTATATAATTTCGATGGTAGAACAAATACAATGAGACGAAGCATTGATGGAATAAATGAAACACAATATATGATCAAACGTGGTAAAGCAAGAATAACTAAAGAATTGAAGCAATTAATAAATGGCGATGATGTTGTCATTGTTGTAATAATAGACCTTGATAACGAGATTGTTGATTTTCAACATGTGCTCTTTGTCGAGTGGTCATTAGAATAATAAAAATAGCTGGGATAATATTAATGATAAATGAAATAAAAATATGTTTCTCGTCATCATTATTTAAAAGACGTCAATGAATTGGATCATGAATAGTTATACCAATGATGAAAATAATGAGAATAATAATTATATATTTAGCCATTTTTATAATTTTTTGTTTGCTAAAACTTGTTCCTTTCATTACACTGAATGCTCTTTCTGTAGCTACATATGCATTTAACCATTTATCTATATTAAACAGATTCGTAATAAAAAGTCAATTGAATACCATTGAAAATTAAGAAATGATTGATTGGTAATATATATGAGTTATGCTATGAGGAGTATCGAAAACTTGAGGATGTGAGCTGGGTATTACCTCGTGCAAAAATCGCACACACACACACACACACACTCCCACACTCACACCTTCAAGACACAACCGCATTAGTTACAGTTTTTAATAAATTAGTTATCAAGCACGATACACGATTAAAAAAGTATCAGACAAATCACTAAGAAAATAACACATTTTAAATTGACAACTAGATTATAATCAGTAAGAAATATAAAAATAAAAAATAACAATCATGATCCTTAAGATTATGCATATGATCTCATCATATCAAGCCCTAACCGATTTGTAGATATATTTAGTATTCATCATTCGTTTCGCTTATTTTCATAACTTGTCTAAAAGGAAAAGTATTAATATTGAGAAGAATTTTTTATCTAGAAGTGTGAACAAGTCGTCGTTCTGTTCTTGAAACGGCCATTCACTACATTTAAACGAATGGCTCATTAGATAAGAATGGAAGAAAACATAAATAAGTCATTAAAATATATCTTTCTTATTTTCCATTTAATTAATTCATTCTTCTGTATCACATAATTTTATTCTATTTTTGTATAATCTTACAGAAGCAACTCATGTGAGTACGCACGCTGGCAAGTCGTACTTGCTTGATGAGTACTTTCATTTGGGTTAAAAGAATACTCACTGGTAATTAAATTATGTGCAGCTTCTATTATAATTGGTTTTCTAATCGGTTTATTGAATGGTTTTCCATAATCGTAATTCTCGTAAACAAGGATTTGGATTTTATCTTAAATTGTTTCTACTCTAACTGTCAGTTTGTTAATTATAAAATTATAATTTGTAAGGGTGAGTAGATGTAGGAATGGGTGGAATATAAAGATGACACCCTCTTCCATCTCACACACACCCACACCCTCAAAACTTTTGGACTACCCTATGTAAATATTTATTGTTGAATAAAAATAGTTGTTTACAATAGTGTTACAAGATACTTGATTACAATAAACAAAGAAACTCATAATGGTACAACATTCAACAGTTAGTTTGGTATTACAAGTAGTTTATGTTAATAATCATGAACAACATATTAACACTTGATAGTATTTTTGACTTCATATCGAAATGTTTTCGACACGAGTAAATTAGTATAGAAGCCAACACAAAATGGAATATAAGAACTGAACTGAGCAACATTCAAAAGCAACATTCCAAGTTGAAATTCAACAAAATCAGCTGATCGAGCTTGAAGTATTTGTAAGTATATAAGAGCAGGTGGCAACATTGCATTGAATACAATATATATACCAATATCAATAATCAAAATTTGAATAAGTTGACTATCCTTTGGACGAGTAGGATGCACAGCAACAATAGCTGTGTTGATAGTAACAGCAGTGACCTGACGTCTTTTTCGGAGATTTCTCACAGTCCACACTCCCAAAATAATCATTAATAAAGGAATAAGAATGTCTTGGATTAAAATTGTATAATAGCTTATGAATGATACATAAAATCCATATTGGAAAGTGCAAATGATAAGATTTGGTACCGGTTCCAAAATATAGGTCAGAAATAATGTATGAATATGAGCTAATAACCAAAATAATGTTACACCTATGATGGCTATATAAGTTATACATAAAGTACTGCGTTGTCTCGTTAAAGCATTTGGTGAAGTGATTAATATTCGATCAATTGATGCTAATATTAAATAAGATGGACTTAAAATAGTAAACAAAAACTTTGTATAATAACGAAAATGACAGAAACCTAGATTATATAAAGTAGGATCGATATTATAACCAGTTGATAGTATTGCTAATAACATAGTTGTATAAATTTGTAGAAGATTACTAATATTATACGCTATCAAATATATTGCACATGGATTTTTACGTAGATTTTTTTTTGTAAAAACAATCAAACTAAGTACGCAACTTACAGTACCCAGCATCATCAAAATTGGTCCACCGTATTTATATAAATTTGTTAGTACTGATATTAATGATGAGTTATCATTTATTTCCGACGACATTTTAATCGATTTATCTAAAAGAAATAAGAAAAAACATTCATGATAAGAGATATTATGTTAAAAGCAACTAACTTCAAAATTCTTTTCTGAAATATTTCATACTAAGATTTTAATTAAATATTCTATTACAATCTATGTCGTTGTTTATCACACATTGAAATAATCTTTTCACAGACCAATTACAACAAAGATAAACGAAGAAATCTTCTTAACAGATTATCTATGCGATAAAAATGTTATTTATAATATTCCAAGTAGAAACAAGAAAGATTAAAAAAAAAGTATACCTATTTATATGAAGAGAAAAACGTTCTTTTATCATTAAGATTATAAATATATTTTGTGTTCTCAAAGAACATAACTTGAGATATTATAATTGAAATTTAATACAAGATTTTCTAGCTCATAATATGTACAAAGGAAATAACGCTGTACCCTACGCACGACTAAAATGAATGACTTTATTAGATTAATGATTGTTTTATTTTTACGACTTACAGCATACAGTGAGTGAGTAGAAATAAGGACCGTGCCATGATAAATAGTTATTATTTCTGTTTTGTGAGGATTTCTTTATATGAAGTAAATGATACAAGTAAAGCGACACAAACTTTAATAAGCCCTCCACTCAACAATGTCTTACCTGATGGATCAAAACTGTTCGTTCATGAAGTTTCGAGTTTCTTCGATCTATGGGTGTGGATGGGTAGGTGTGGGTAAACAAATGGTGGATCCACACTTACACCCACATCCACACTCACCCTCTGCAAATGACTTCTGAAAAGAAATCCTCTATTAAAATTTATCTATCCAAGATAGATTCAAATGATCATGAATAAACTTTGAAAACAACGATTGAAACAATGTTTATTATAATCACTTATACGAAAGATAATAAAACAATTTAATATATATGTTTTTTTTGCAAACAAATAAAATTTTCTATTGTATACCGCTTTAAAGGTTATTCTGTAATAGCAAAGACTAAGAAAAAAAAGTCATGCTATTTTCGTTCATCGTCCAACAGAATAATTGGAAAGAACATCTTTGTTTTCATTGACGATTTCAGTCAATTAAAATCAATGAGTATAACATATATATAATCTTAGAAAATAAAAATGTATAGACAAACTAACATGAAAGATTTATTGGTTCAATTGGATGATTTACCTGATGAAATTCTCATGTATATATTTAAAAAATTGTACAATGATCAAGTGCTTTATTCTTTAATGGATGTTAATCAACGACTCAATAGAATTGTACATGATACAAATTTTATTCGTCATTTATGTTTACTAGAATACTGTCCAATCCATGATTCTACCTCGCCTTTACCAGATTCAATAACTGATCGATTTTGCTCAAAAATTCTACCTGAAATTGGACATCAAATTAAAACTCTTTTTCTTTCACGAACGTCGATAGAACGTGTTCTTCGTGCTACAAATTATCCTAATTTGAATAATCTTGGTTTATGTGATGCTCACCCCGAAGCAGCGAAGTCTTTGTTACTTGGTAAGACATTTTCTTTGATTAATTTCATTATAAAATTAACTAATCACTGGAAATTAAAATGATTTGTTTCGAACACATGCTTATTCATAATTAAAACATCATCTACTTATAAAAAATCACTTTTAATTCCACTTTTATTTCCTACACAAAACATATCCTTTACAGAAACATTATTACGAGAAAAAGAATTTAATCATTCATTAATATAAGAGAAAAAAAGAGATTGATACCATATCTGACTGAAATTTTTCAAGATTAGTAGAAGCAATATAGATCCTAGAAGAAAATTAATAATATAAGCAAGTCAATATACGAGATAGAATATCTTGGATATTTTGATTGAATAAACAGAAGCAGATTTGAAAAATATTTTTATCATTAACTTTACAATTTTATTTAGATGAAAATTCATTAATTCATAGATTCAAGAATCACATTTCGTCACTCTTCATCAGTTTTGATAAAGGAGACAATTTTTGTCCAATAGGACTTATCTGTTCATCTATATTTGAAGAAATTTTAATCCTATTCACTAATTTACAATGCTTAATTTTCAATCCATCTGCAACTTTATATAACGCTGTAACATTTCTATACTCAGATAGCTTTGGTGTCTGTTCAACTTTATTAGAATTACATATCAGTGTGACAAAAATGGAAGAATGTCTTTATATACTTGATGAAATTTTTGATCAACTTCGTATACTCCATGTTACTTTTCATAATATTCCATCTCAGTCTCACCATATTGAACATAAAGTAGGTTATTTTTATTAATATTTTGTTTGTTTAAATAAACTTATATTTGTTTTGATTATTAGAAAAAGCTATTAACAAACTTACGGATTTTTTCATTGTGCTGCAAGCAAGAGATATACGATTTTAATGGATTAATTGCACCACTTCTACGTCGAATGTTAAATTTAGAAGAACTTGATTTAAATATTAAGCTTATGTCTTATACAGAATTTATTGATATTGATATATTGAAGAACGATATTATTATTTATATGCCACGATTACAGAAATTCACATTCAACATTTATTCCATCATTGATCATCGTCATCAAGCGATCTTCCCATTAAACGAACATATGGAGAAAACATTTCAATATTTCTCAAATAATCAAATAACTACTCGCATTGATCATTTTGAAAAAGGAAGATTTAGTCAATGTCATGTGTATTCATCTTCATATAAAATGAAAATTTACAATAATATAACAAATAATTTCCGAGGTGGAATATTTACCAGTGTTACTGAAGTATCATTACGCGATGAATACCCATTTGAACATGAATTTTTTCTTCGAATAGCTCAATCATTTCCATCTATGAAACAATTAACGATAAAGAATCGACAAGCACAAAATAACAAACAATTGATAAAATCAAACAACGATTACCAAATATTGTCAATTATTGAATATCCCAATCTTACTCGACTTGATCTTAATAATGCTCATGATGATTATGTCGAATTATTTTTATTTGATACGAAAATGTCTGTGCCAAATAATCTTCATCTTTGTGTCGATTATCAATCACTAAAAAGAGTGACATACTATTTTACAAGATATATAACACGTAATAATTATGTAAAACTTGCTGCTCTATATTGTGATCCAAATCAGGAAAACGATGAACATTTCAAAAAGTATTTTACTAATACGCGTATATATAATACTTTTGATTTTATAATTCTTTAAATAAAATACATCCAAAATCGATCTATTGATATAAAATGAAATGATTGAAAGGGACAGAAGAAAATGAATAAGGATAGCTATTTCAAAGAAAAATTAAATAATATATAGTCTAACCCTATATTAATTGTACAGCTGAAAAATGAGCTTGTATAAATTAAATATTCACAATTACTTACCTACGTTTGGGCGTGGGTATGACTATAGAAATAATCGACACCCTTACTCATACCCATTGTAATCAGTTTATCTACGTAAAATAACACTATCTCTAATCTATTGTTCATTTCTAATAAAACATAGATTCTTAAATGCTGAGACTCTGACGTGTAGTAATAAAAGCCAATGATTTACCTATGTATAAGAACAATTTGTTTCTTCTCATAGATTGTGACTTCTAAGAGCAAACACTATTATTTCTTATTTAGAAACTAAAACGAGTTATCCATGATGTTTTTAGTAGAATATTTATTATGAATTTATAGACACGTATTTACTTCATACGATTTTTTGTTTACTTCACTGAATACATGAAGAACTTAATTTGCATCAACTAGATTATGATTAATAAAATATAGTTTAATATTCAACAATCTAACAAAAAAATATCAATTAAACCCGTATGTATCAGGGAACAATTTCGATTTCAGATGGAAGTTATATTACATAGTTGTATACAATACAGAATAAAATATAACGAATATATATATATATGTATGCAATCATTAGTTGTGCGAGAAAAAGAAAGCTGGGAAAAAATGATATGAGTAAGAAAAAAAACCCAAAGCTATTTGATAAGAATTTAACGATAAAAGCATCGCGTTTATGACGTCAGTCTTGCACCATTCTTATTTACCTATGTGCTAGAATTGCAAGTCTGTGCGGACGTTATTTAGAAAATTTAAAGAATTATAGATAGCAATATATACGTACATGAAATTGATAAATAAGACTATATTTTTTTCTGACTGAAAAAGAGTGTTCAATGAACTTAAAAACGACATCCACTCATGTGCTATCGGATAAATTTCTAAGACGGGAGTGAGACTAGTTTTAGCAGCTTTTTAATCATCAGTATTGCTATTTAAAATATATTCTTCTGTTAGAGAAAGATGTCACTTATTTTCTACATCATGTATGATTCATATTCAGAGATTTTATCCTATTTATCTCCATATTCTAGTCAAATCAGCCTAAGCATACCTCTATTAAGGATATGAATTAGAAATTATTCCTGTTTCGCGTTTTTCAACAAACCAATCGTACATTGCCATGTGTACTTTGTCACAATGACGTGGTCAGGTAAAGAAAAACAAATATTGGCTTCATACAAAAAAACCCAGTGATCATATATATAATTGTCTTTTCGCAACGAATTAAGATATAACGAGACTATAATTCTCTATTTGCCAACATTATCCGAGTATTTCTTCATTTTTTTTGTGAGTTTATACAACGAATAGTATCTAAATAGTTATGTCGCTCCAAAATCCAAAATCATGGAAAAGTGTTTTACAAGAATATTGTCAAAAAAACAAGCTTCAAGCGCCTAATTATCGAACTCAACAACAAGAAAGTGCTTCGCATGAGATAAGATTTCAAGTAAGTCTATGATTTCTATAAAAATATAATAGCAACGTTGACTAATATATAGATATGCTTATTTGTCATTTAGTCAGAAGTCGAAGTCAATGAAAGTTGGATCATGGGAGAAGGAAACTTTACATCGAAAAAAGATGCTGAAAATTCAGCAGCTCAAATAGCATATAATGAGCTTTGTAAAAATAAGACGGAAATTGGTGTGGCTGAGGTAGATCATAGTCCAACTAAACATATGCCTAAAGAATATGAAAATATTGAAAACTTCTTAGCAAATATGGTGGGATCATTTGGCGGTACAATTCGAAAAGTTCGATCCCCAGATGCACATGGAAGATACAGACTGGAAATCGGAGGTAATTATCGATACTGTGATAATATTCGTGATCATCATAAGAAAAATCAAGTTTATTTTCTTGTGGATCCCGTTAATCTGGTATATTATCAAAAATGTTATGATCCTGACTGCCAAGGTTTTCAATCAGCAAAACAACGGATTTATATGAAGGAAATCACGAACAACCAAGAACTAATTAATTCTAACAGTAAACTTTCGAATTTACCAGATACAAATTGACTCTGTTGCAACCTGATGAAAGATATTTCTTTATAAATCAATTATTCCATGAACGTTTTACTTCATTTATATTAATTATACTTATTTTTACTTTTTTTATGAATAAAATTCATTTGGTTGATCCATGCTGATCTTTTTATAGGATTGTAGTCTAGGTTGGTGATGTCTACTTGGGAATAATATTCCTGAACAAAATGATTCAATATAATATCAAGTATATTTTATAGTCACAAATGATCACTGAAAAGTGTACTCATGTAACCAGCATATCGTATATAGTCAAAATTTAGTATAGTCCTATTTGATTTCGAAAGAGAACAGCAAATATACT